TGAATCACTCATTCCCATGACTTAAACCAAAATAAAACCTGAACTGTTGAAGTAAAAACTCAGTTGTTTTGAGGGACCTAGTTTGTTCCATGGACTCATTTTCTTTAAGTTGACTTTATATTCTTATGATAATGAAAGCCCCGAAGCCCCAGAATGAATTGGCTACCATTTTGATAATCGATTAATTGTCCATTGTTTTTATCGTAATTCGCTTAGGTGGAAGAAAACTGAGTAAATTAAATTTAAGTTGTAACATTTGTATAAAGAAGATGCAAGTTTGGAGAAATGTGGCATATCAGTGCAATATATTTACTTGTTTTAAGTACAGTTAACTTAATTTACTAACCAAATACCTTACCATACCTTACCTTAACAATAACAATAATAATAGTTACTTCTACTAAAATCAAATATTCTTTCATTTTTAAATTGTTGAAGTTAATACATTTGAACTGTTTAAGGCAATCAGGTTTCCTCAAACAGTTTGAGTTGAACTAACTCATCAGGTTTTACAGTGAATGAAAATTATTAGGGTGGGGAGGAAGGCTGACTGTGATGTTTGACATTTTAAAAAAGCAAAACCATTATCGATATTTTCTTTGAAAACAAAATGCAACACCCACCCCCCCAACAGACATAACAGTATTAACTTGGTACAACCCATTTCACCAAGAGTCACCGAGCAGAACAACTTTAAGATTGTTTCCCAGTTTTAACATTATATGCTTTATGGAATAAAAAAAAACTGTAAATGCCCTCTTGCCTCAATAAGAGAAAATTAAACCGGGGAAGTGCTGCCAACCAAAAGGTTATTAGACAACCACTGTCACAGAACAACAGGACGGTCTTGTAACTATATTAATACAAATCTATTTATTTTATTATTATCAGTACCAATGGGATGAGAAAAAAACACCTGCTTACTAACAAAATCAAACCAGAATTACACAACGAGACAAATACCCCAAAATGTTCAGACTAGCTAGCAGAGGTAGGAAGTAACTAAGTACAAATACTCTGTAAGTCGTGTTTTTTCAGGTAACTTTTTACTTTTAACGTCTACATTTTCACACATATATCTGTACTTTCTACCCCTTACATTTTCAAAAGAGGCTTGTTACTTTGGTTCTATTGGAATTGAGATGAACTGTCCGTTGTCATGCATGTCCGACGTAACACAATGAAAACAACATTAAAGACGTAACAAGACAAGAAAGGAAGACTCGACCCTATTTTAAGTTTCAGCTTTGCACAGAAACAGCCGACAGAAAAGAGAAACCAAGAGAATACTTTTTACTTTTATACTCCGAGTACATTTCAGAGCCTGTACTCTTTTACCTGAGTAAAGAAGTAGAACCAGAACTTCCCCTTTGACTGGAGCCTTTTTCTATTAGTATTAGAAGTATCTGCGCTTCTACTTGAGTAAAGAATGTGTGTACCACCACAAATAATGGCATGGCAACAGTAGCAGAACGGTTAAATCACAGCTCAGTAAGTTGACTCATTTTGTTAACGTATGTTTGAGCATTCAGCCCGATGAAGGTCTTGTGACTGAAAGCTTGACTTTGTTATACTTACGTGCACAGACCCTTTCCATCCTCCACGTGAGCCTGCTTACACCTTAGCCTTGAGTGCAGTGACTCTCGGATGTGCACACGCGCTACAAACAGATTTTTAAAAAACCATTTCAAGCCAACAGAAGCCTCAGATGTTCCCATGGCCTAAAAGTTTCAAGAGTGATGGTAAAGGTGGAAAAAGGTGGGTGAGGCTTTGTAAGTGTCGGCCTACTGTAAGTGTAGGTGATGATGAGCTCCGACTGTAGTTAGTGGAGGATGTGGTTTTACAAAGAAACATTCATTTTCCTCTTCAGCCTTTTGTGATATTGTGTACCTGACTGAATAAAACACGTGGGATGGCACTTACCAACTGTATAGTTCCACTCTCCCTCCTACCCTTTCCTTTAAAGTTATAGCTATGTAACATTTGAAAAGGGAGAAATTGCACATTTTTCTTCTTAACTCACACTTCCTCAATCCGGTACACTCAGGGTTTTTTCCACTACAGCTTTAATTGACCAGTAGCCTATGATGGTTGATGTTTTAGACATGAGTAGTGGCGAACTCAGGCTGTTCGAGGGGCTGAGGCGGGAAAAATAAAAGTTGCGATGCATTTATGGTGAAACAATTTAGTCACGATTAGAATTAGCACTTTACACGGTCGGGGCCCTTCTTGATTTTAAGGAGCGTTAGAAAACACAGTAGGCCTGTTTCATTCATTTCTGTAAAGAAACCTAAATTGTTATTTTTAAAGTTCAGATTATTATTTAAGATCTAAAGTTTGAAGACGTGAACACAAACTGTATTGACAGAGTCTTCACTCTCTGATAAACAGCTTCGGCCTGCGTTAGAAAAGTTAAAACAACCAAAGAGCTAACAGAACAAGTATGCATGTATTTAATGTAAAGTTTCTAAATCTCTGTTTTTTGTTCTGTACTGTTATTATTATTATGCATTGAATATAATATGAAATATCCATTAAATATGTCACTTTGTCATATCAGGGTCGTCAGTTTACTCAGGATTATCTTGCATGGGGGCATTTTTTTTAACTAGGAGCCACTGAGGGGAGGCAGTTATGTACAGTAAGGGATAATGCCCAACGAGATGAGAGAATTAATGGACAGCGCTTATACCATGGTCAGTTGCCAAAGAACAAAAATAGGATCATTATTTTATATGTTCACATGTTTTGCGACCAAAATCTAACAAGCCATATCTTCGTTTCCCTGGTAACACCTGAGGTCCTTCCTAATATCTGGAAGAATCATTACCATCCCATAATGCAATGGAAACTTTGTTCACTAGTCCAGTAAATAGGACGAACCATAGATATGATTTGGCAATGGGAGATGACAATCTTCCATTTTCATTCTTTTTTTTTTTACATTATGAATTAATGGGCACCCAGTAGCCAATCAGAATCAGGTATTCACCCAGACCAGGGTATAATGGTGTGTGACTCACATTACTGAGTCTGTGAGTCTCTTTTACTACTTCATCTACACACTACAGGTTAACCATTTACCATTAAGTTAAATAGACATGTTTATTCGGTAGCTCAGACCTTAATGATATAAAGTGTTTTACACAGATTCCATCCTTTCACTAGCAAAAACATATAATTGCATGAAAAATGTGAATTGACAGAGAACATAAACTGAGTTTAAACAGGGTTCAAAAGGACCCTATGATGACATAGACTGCAATAAAAGTCATGTGTCAACAGAATGTCATCCATAAAATATACAGTTACATATTCATTGTTGTTGCGTTCCTAATAGATATATAATAGATAAATGTTGCAATAACACATGGTGGTGTGTTGAAGAGGTGTTTCATTTTGATGGACTAGTACATCCAGCTTTGGTAGGTAGTTTCCAAGAATGAAGGGAAATATTGTGCAGATTGCTTTACGACACAAAGCTGCGTTTACTTTGCTCCTATCGTAAAATCGAATTGCAGTTCCCTCATTCAAACAGCTTCATTTCACGTTTGCTTACTTCTTCAGGGTGCACATTGCCTGATAACAAGAGCCTCTGTCCACATTTAATCACTCTTGCGTGTCAAAACAAATCAGAATAACTCGGAGCGGAAACATTTCCTGCACAACAGGACGAGGTTTGTTTTGTTTGTTGGTGTCTCGGGTTTTAGAACTGTAGCATCTTTAAATCTGAACACAATTAATGACCTTTTCTGGCGTTGTTTAATGATAATCATGTCCAATCTGAGAAGCACAACACATATCAGGTAAAACAAATGCATGTGCACTTTGAAATGGACTGCGATACATTACGCCTCAGTAAAACTAAAATACTGCACAATTACACAAAGAGAAACCGAAGTATCAGGAGGAGGTTTGGATGCCTCTGTTACACCATTTCTCTCAAAATATATCCTCCCTTTACTTTCATAACGTCACAGAAGTGAAGGTCAGGGGAGGACATGTCACCAGAGGGCTGTCTGTCTGTCCTTTCAGATTGTTCAAACAGCTCAAATACTATCAAAAGTTTCCACAATGTTGATGTATCTTGTTGCCTGCGTGCTCCCGTTAAGTCCAGAAGCAACTGATTAGGAAAATGCATCATGTGAGCGCAATTTAACCTAAAATAGTAAAGCTCTGCAAACTGCATTTTGACCCCCACTAGGATTCGCCAAAGCTTTATAGGGAGTTGTGAGGCCTTTTTGAGTTTAAGGCGTGTTTGAAAACTTTAAAAAAAAAAACATACACTGTAGGCCGATATCTCAGCATTTGGTTCACTATTGTGAAAAAAAAGTTAATTTAAAGTAAATTAAGTAAAAAAAAAGAAGCATTTTAAGTGTGTATGATTGTTTAAAATGATTAAAAAAATACATAATACAGACAGAGAACTGTATAAAAAGTTCTCTAAACAGAAAATAATTTGCACAAGATTAATCCAAATCCCTCGTTTTACACAACCTTTCAAACTCCTTTACTGAAGTTACTGAGTTCCCTATTCGGGTTCACTGTACAGTTTTGAATTTAATAGTCTTAGAAATCACCTTCCCTCAAGGAAATTCCAGCAGCTTACAAAACACAAAAAAAAAAATAAGAACAAGAATAAAATAAAATAAATGCAGAGAACTGTATAGAGGATAAATATAGATAAATATAAAGGACTGTATATGACATTAGCAGAAATTAGAAGTTAAATTAAATTATTGCACTTAAGCGGTGGATTAATATGAAATATCCCTAAAACATGTGACTTAGTTAACTCAATAATAAAACACTTTAAAGGCTTAAACTCCCTGAACAACTACCAGAGCCCTGCAACAAGCAGCGCCTCCCCGCCACCGCCAGAGGGCGGCGCTGCACAGGTTTCGGCTGTAGTGTGGTTTTATTGGGGGGGGGGCTCTCTGGTGCACAGCTGCACACTCTCACTCCACTTTATCCAAACTGCACACACACACACACACACACACACACACACACACACACACTCATCTCACACTTCATCTTCATCCGCGCGGTTGATGGCGTAAGAATATAGGTCCGTGTGCGCGGTGTGTGTGTTTTTGTTGACGGGTTTGTTTGTTTGTTTGTTTGTTTGTTTGTTTGTTTTTCTCACGTCGACAGATAAACATCTCGTGAGGAGCACGCTCGATAAAGTAAACTGTCGTGTTTTGATGACGCCACCACCGGGACTTTCCGGATACGTCACTCGGGGCTTCCGAGGTTCTTCAGCGAGCCCTGTTGTTGTGTTGTCCATGTCGGCAGCGGGTCGTTAAGGCGGGCATTAACGTCGTTTAATACGCCCCGAGAGAGACCATGACAACGCCAGAGGCTCCCAGCGGCGCCGCAGCGGTTGTCTATTGAGACGTCGTCGTGAGGAGCGACGGTTCCGACCCAGAGGCGGAATGTCAACAACGCGGCCCCTCCTCGGAATGAGGCGAGTCACCGAGCTAACGTACCCGGAGCAGCCGAGCAGCAGGCTCCCCGCGTCGGCCGCCAGGAGCAGCAGCAGCCGCCGCCGCCGCCGCCGCCGGACCCCCCCACCGTGGACGAGTTCACCGTGCTGGAGGATAAAGAAGAGGAGCTGAAGTGCGCCAAGCCTCGAGTGGAGCAGGTTTTTAAAGTAACGTTCACCATCATCGGTCTGTTGGACCACACGGGACAGCCGCACGGTGGCAAAACATCCCGGCAGATATGGCTGCAGCTCCGGGGGAACAGAGAGGACGTGTCGAAGGCGAAGGTGAGCTCCTTGTTGTTGTTGTTGTTGTGTTGTTTGTGTTAATGAACGATGAGAGCACCGTGCGGGGGCAGCAGGTGTATCTGATTGGCGCCAGTCTCTGCTCTTTCACCCAGATATCCCCTTTAGAGCTGGGGCACAGCGGCTCTCTGGGTCTCACATCTGGGCTCAGGTGTTTCTTTTGGCTGTAAAAGGTTAAAAGTGTATTTATTTAAAAGGGATTTAAAACCCACCTCTCTTTATAGATCTCCTTGTTTGTTTTCTTTTAATTTATCCTTTCCCTCCTTTGTTTTATCTTCCTTTTATTTTGTTGTTACATGCTCTCTATGTTTGTGTTTTTGTGTTTATTTGTTGTTTTGGAAAGCACTTTGGATCTCTGTGTCATAAAAGGTGCTATATAAATAAAGTTTTACGTATTTATCAGTACCAGTACTTACATACAAGCTCATTTTTTAATCTGCTGTCTCTGGCAAATATAAAATATTAAAAAGAAAACATACATTAACACGGAGCAAATCAGAAAAGCACAGAAGGACAATGAGTATAAATGTAATTCTGAAGTTGTAGTTAAAGCTAAACAAGAGGACGAGTTACGATTAAATGTACCATTTAATTTTAATAAAAGATAAAAATGTTAAATGTTAAGTTTGAGGTGGAGTTTTTGAGAATCAATCCAATATCATAAAAGTACACACATATTGCTGTATCTTTAGATGAATGTGTCTTTCGTACTCAGTCGTACAAGCAGACATAATATCACCAACTCCCAATTTAGATCAGATAGGCTGTGAAAGTAACAGTAGTCATAACGTTACCCGAGTTATCAACCCCGACACTGACATTGTGCTCGTCTCGTCAAGAATGTCATGACATTTTATTTCGTCTGTTTTATTGTCACTTGGCCAACAGTTGGCGAGGAAGCCACCGAGAGAGAGAGAGAGAGAGAGAGAGAGAGCGAGATATATCTATATCTATATAATAAACACAGTCAGAACGGTCTCAGACAGCTCACTTCAGGACAGACGTTTGGGGGTGTTACACCATCTACTCCTCTAACTGTATCTGTGATTTGTTGCATTTTGTATGACTCTAAATACCAGTACTTTTTTAAAAAACATAGATGTTGGGTTGATGTATGGTATTATTGCATATTGTGATAAAAAAAAATCCTACATTTCTTCACACGTTTTGACTTGAAAAAGCTGTCTAGTTCACTGATTTATTTTAAACAAGGGGACGAGGGGGAGCTCGCATCTCTCCAGTTATTCCTTCCCTGTTGTATCCCCCAGGAAAAAAAGGTTAAACCGGATGTGTGGAAATATATTCCAAAATACAGAACCAGGAGATGAGGTGTGCCTATCTGTAATGCAACAAATATGTGTGTTTGTGAACCTAAAGTAAAGTGATTGAGGTACGTTTCAGTAGGTATGTTTAATGATTATCGTGATTTTATATCCCCCCCCCAGCTACTTCAGAATATGTTTTATTAGTTCATGGCTGTTGGACATTGAAATATAGGCACCAGGCGGTTTGTTACACAACATTTTATACAGTTGTGTGAAATAAAAAACTGACTTAATGTGTTGGGTGTGCGATTAGGGGACAGAATTGGAGGCTGAATCACTATCCAGTACAGTCACAATAAGAGTGGTATCATGTGACAGGGCCAGTCTGTGGGAGGTTACGTTACTGACAATCTAAAGTACATCGTGAGGTGGAAGAACGTGCATTATTAATACTTTCAGTTTAACAGATAACTGAACCGAGATAAAGCATTATGTAACAAAAGGTGTGTTGTCTTTTTAGCAACATTTAAATGTCAAGCAGTGATCACACAGTAGACAGGTTGACAGTTCAGTTGTCTGTAATGTGGGAAGCAAACATAATGGATCAATATTATTGCTGTAGTTTTTTGTACATACCAGTCACAAATTTCAGCATTTTGAAAAATATATTTAGTCATTTAGGGGAGGCACAATATATGGTACAGCATTTTTCTCTTCTCATGACGAGGACAGTTATGTTGTACTAGTATCAGTTACACAACTCCTACTTTTCTGGCCACAAACTACCGTAATGTAAGATCTTTGAGTCCTGGGGGATGTCCTTAAGGGAAGTTTTGGTGTTTGCTGACTTATTATAGAACCGTATCTGATCTCTAGATACATATGAAGTGTGTACGCAATATTCCTTTATGTCTGAGCAGTGTTTCCTCTAGGATTTTTTTTAGCAGTGGGGGCAGGCCCCCCCACGTGTGATGATTCTTTTGGTTATTGATTTAAAAACAAGCCTAACTACCTTATGTGACCTCCTTTAGGTGTGTGGATAACTTCACGGGGGGCAGTATACCTTCTCAGTCTAGTAAAGAAGACAAACTCCCTCAAAAAAACATCAAATTGTTGGACACTGTCAACTGGAATGAACCATCAATTGACATTAGATTATACACCACACATATAGCATGCAAAACAGCTGTCAACATCTGCAGCATTTATTTATTCCTGTGTCATTTCCCCATACATGAGCATTGTTCACACTTCTGCATCTTGTGTCACGAGTCTCTCTGTCGTGCGTAAGTTGCTCCCCCCTGTAACCAGCTGTTCCAAGCTCTGCCAGTCAACCGAGAATGTGATGTGGAAACGGTAATTTCATCATTTCTTTCAGCCCATGGTAACTGGGCTCCTGCATAACCAAGTCAAATTGGAGCCCCTTGTAGTTTGGGAAATTACGGCCAATTATTCCCATAAGAACCTTTCTTGTGATGCAGTTTCACAAGAGAGAACTGCTGCACGTGATTGGAAATAAGAATCAGGGCTTTCCACGAGGATATGGCGTTGCCAGATACGGGGGGTCTGAGGGGGATGCGCCCCTGAAGAAAAGTTTTGGCTGTAAAAGCCGAAATTTGGTGGCTGATTTCCACTAAAACGCTGTGAGACGATCCAGTATCGGCAAGTCAGCAAAGTACAGCAGTCTGCTGATGATGTCATCTTTTGGTTTGTAGTGTATTTAGTCTTAAACAGGGAGGGGCAGTTACAGCAAGTGATGCGAGTCGGTCTCAGACGGCCTCTGTGTTAAATGAAATAGAAAGTATGTTGTCAGATAGTTTCTGTCCAGTCAGTCACACTACTGTACTTCCTATATTGGTTTGATGACCTGAATGTTGATTCCTGAAAGCGTAACTCTAATGACTTATGACTTTAATAACCACAGGTATTTGCATCTTGTTTGAACGGTGGCTTTTATTTGACTCATTTTAATTTCTATGTGCCAATAGACTGATATCGACCTGAATTCAGCTCTTTTCTTTCATTATTTCAGCACCTCTTTGGACAGATGTGACTGCCTGTCTATGTGCACGGATGTTTGATATAGTAGTTGTGATGAAAGCCGTTGGCTCATGGATGAACAGAAATAAGATATTCCATCAAAGACGCAGTGACAGTTTCTTTTAGTGGATGAACCGGTATACCGGTTTTCATTTCCTGTATGATTTCCTGAATCAGAATTTCCTGAATGTGTCATAATGCCGCCATGCTGTCGCATACCGGAATCAATATCTGTAACTCAGTTGTTTCTTGTGCAATCAAACATTTGAGAAATACTTGGAATACTTTTGTACTTTGGTAAAGCAAGCGGTGTTAAAGATGTTGACATAGCTTTAAGTTCTGCTTTTACTACATTGCAGTTGGCACAATAAAAACAGTTTACATTCACATTCCTTCCTATATTGAATCATTACATGGACCCATTCAGATGTTTTTATATTTGATGTGCTCCTGACAGTAGAACCTCTACCTACTGGAAATCCCTGCTCATTTTATTGGTGGTTTGATTTTAAAAGCCACACCGAAATATGTGCGATCTGGTATCCTTTCAAGTCTGACATCCTTTCTTTCTCTCCCACTGCGTCACTGTTGAGTCATCTTACGTTCTCAGCGTACTTAGTTTTTCACACATTAACGCTAAAGAAATGTGACACAGTATCTGTAAGGAAGCCACCACGCCCACCTGCAGCTGATTCATCCGAGCATTGCCCTTAGCCAAGAGATTCCCTGAATCAATGACAAGTGTTTAGTTTCAGCACGTGTCAAGCTCTGCTGCTCTACGGCCAGGGCAGGGGCAGGATGGTACATTAAAATATATATCTGAATTTTAGAGCATGTGTCACACAAGAGCCCTGTCCTGCCTTCTGTAGTTTTTACCAGATCATTTTTGGTTGCTAGTGTGTGCTTTTGCTGTGCTTTTGTAAAAGGCCACATCTATTTTTTACTGCTTTCTTCCTTTTTTACAAATTTCCCAGAGTTTGTTTGTCAAGCTGCAAAAAGCAGTTCCCGTCACAGAAAGTAGTAACAGTTAATTAATGACACTGCTGTTCACAGACATGCTTAAACTGTTTTCTTCCCCTTGCCTGGCAGGAGTATGTTCGAGGACTCTGCGACCCCGAGCTGCAGAAAGAGGAGTGGTATCCAGTGGACATGCACTGTATTTTTGCTGGTGCCCGGGGCCTCTTCCTGGACAGGCTCATACGGGACACAAGTGCTGAAGTTCTGGTGCCTGAGCCCGGCCGCCTGCGGTTGTTGGGCAGGGCTGAACCCGTAGTGATGGCCCAGAGCAGAGTTCAGCAATTCGTAGCACTATTCCAGGTAGAGGCACTAATAATCTGAATTAAGTAATGTTATTACACACCAGTTTAGTCTGTAACACACAGACGAACATCGCACCTCGCGAACCTGAGAGCTTTAGAGGCAGAGGACTGTACATTTTGACTGTAAATCTAGTATTTATATATAAGAGAAGGCTTTACAGCAACTTTCTTAGTCACACTAAAAACTTTAAAATATTCCAAAGTAGAGCTGAAACTTGATTGATCGGTAACTGATTAATCGTGTAGTCAATCAACAGCAAATTAATGGCCCATTTGCTCCTTCTCTTCATCTTATATCATAGTAAATGTGGACTTTGGACTGTTGGTGGGACAAATGAAACTTTTTTAAGACATAACCATGAGCCAATTGCGATGAAAATGTCCAACATGAATGAACCATATGATTAATCATTTAATGTGCAGATTAGTCAATAATGTAAATAGCTGCTTCCTATTTAAAAGAATAATATTTTACATCTATGTGTGTGTTTGTATCCAGGAAAAACGAAGTCTACCAAGTGACAGAGAGCCTGCAGTGAAACGAGCTTTCAAGTCCTTTGTGGAGGAACGGGATGATAAATACACTATGGAGCTTCTCCTGCTGCCCAGTGCCCTGAAGGAAGAGTTACTGGGGCTGGCTCATAGCCCCACTACCACAAACACATTCTCCCTGGTTAGTGTACACCTCTTTTTAAAAAAAAAATGGTTTATCACAGTACAGCATAACCACTGTGTGCCTTTTGGGCAATGGCCTGTGAGATTTTTAGGCTAATTTCTTTATCATTCTACACCAGGTTGTACAGCAGAATGCAAGCTGTGGTCCCTTTTATGCCACACACAAAACAAAACACAATATTATTTATGGTGGAGGATGAACTGGGGAGTCTGAGTCCAAGGAAAGAAGCTGCTCTGGAGTCTGGTGACCCAGCTGCATTTATGGCGTTTGGCATTAGGATGTAGTAAAGAAAGGACATCTTTACATAGTAAGTGTCTTGGGTACATGCATTGGAGTGACGTATCTCACCCTGACGGAAGTGAATTGACTTTCTACTCTTTATCTGTGAAGTAGGCGAGTACCCAAGGGTAGGCCTGAAAGAGATACAAGTATTTTTTAAAGGACCAGTGTGTAGGATTTAGTGGCAGCTAGTGGTGTAGTTGCAACTCCTTCGCTTCACTCTCACCTTCCAAGCATGAAGAGCGTGACTATGGTGATAGCGCTTCTCAATTTCAAGTGATTATACACTAACTGACACTAATACGTGCACAGAATGTGAGATTTCACTAATATATTAAAAGTCCAAGATATCTGTGTGGGCGGGGTTGACTTCTGCATATAAAAATGTGTGTGTGCGCTCACTGGAGGTGCATTTTGGAAATATTCAGATTTTGCTGTAAAATTTAAATTTTGGCAGCGACGAAGTTAGAGAATTAACAAGCCGAGTATTTAAAGAATCCCCGGTCGGAGGAGGAAGAACTGCACAGAACAAGTGAGGATTTGGCTTAAATGAAGCTCACACCGCAGGAGAAGGAGCTGCTGATGTAACAGCCACCACCATGCCCGCAGCAACTCAGGCAACCTCCTACTCCAGAGCCACACACACACCATCACAGTTGTCTTCCCTGGATGAGCCACTCACCCAACCTGTACTGGGACCATTTCCCAAACTGTCATCTCAGGAAAATCCTTTTTTTTTTTTGTCCGGACGATGACATGATAAATTCTAGTGAATAGAGCACAATTACACAACATGCAGTCTTTTGTTAGGTCTGTGGGCATTTTCCAGAGGCTGGACTTGCAGGAACTGGATTTAGTGACTGGATATTGACAGGAATAGATGCTCCAAACATGCAACTACGTTATCTAAATTGGCAAAGCAAAGCCGTGGGCCACAGCGACATGGCACTGTAATAAACCAAATTCATTGTGATGCTAGGAATATGGAGTTTACAGAGAGAAACTCGGCATGTTCAAGTGGCATTTGGTTATTGATATACTGTGCACCAAACAAAACATTCCACTCAGAGGACACATGGAGACAGAATGGCTCTAAATCGAGGGAACTTTTTGGAGTTTTGGAAAATACGACCCTGAAGTCGAGAGCCAGGTTACACCGCTCGAACCATTGAAATGGCACTATTATGAGCCCAGACATACAGACTGAACTGGATGGTAGTGCAGACTGATGAATGCAAAGATAAGTGGTTGCTGTGTGTGTGTTCCCTAGATAAAAGATGGAGTGATAAAAGAGAGGGCTGTTGGGTTTGTCAGAGCAGCTGACATGTCAGCAGAGGGAATTTCACAGAGGATTCTCAAAGTGCTTAACACACTGGATTTGGACCCGGCTCTCTGCATGGGTTTCTGCTCTGACGGTCCTTCAGTTGTGACGGGAAATGGAGGAAGGACGGGTGTCGTTTAAACAAAGTCTCACTCTCCTTTATTTGATCCCAGTGGCAAAAGGACTGCAGTCTTCAGCGTTATCTATAAAACAGTCTGATTGAAAACCTCAAGACTGACTGTCCAGAGATAACACTGAAAGAGGAGCTGTTGATGTCACGGGTTCACAGCAGCAGAGCGTGCCAGTGAAGCTGACTGTGTTGTTAAAAGTACGACAATCATCGAGCATCAAGTGCAACAGCTATGTACAACAGATGTGGAACAGTATTCTGGACAGGCATATCTCAAGAAGACACATGTGGGCTTATGCAGGCTGCGGCGTCCTTTCTGAAAAATAGAGAAGTCGTATGGCGTGTCAGAGTCAAAAGCCAAACTCACTGAGCAGCTGAAACACAAAATAAAATTGGGGAATGTCCCACCTGTTCTTCTGTTATGTGTGTACTTGACAGTTGCCCCCAAGATGTATCCCGAGAATAAATTTACTCATAAGGGTCGTGCCAGTCTTCCAATGACATCTTACAGTGTGGGGAGATTAAAACGCTTCTCCGGTCATCAGTGAGCAGCACTGTCTGAGCAACTTGACTTTACTGTCATTGCAATGAAATCACCTCCATATTCACCCCCACAACCCACAACCCACAACCCACCCATGGTAAAATGAATACTGTGGTCATTAATAATGGATATGATGCGGTCACTGGCGTTTTAAGATTGCTGACTTGTTAGTCACTATGTATTAACAGAAATAAGTGATCTGCTTCATAATCTGAGCTATCAGTTTTTACTTTGAGAGCTTATCACTACCAGGTGCTATAGAGCCTATTGTGTCAATAATGTTGATTTAAAAAAAAAAAGAAGAAATGTTTAACTTTCTTTTGTTGTTTTCTGGTTTGGTATAGCGGAGACTATAAGAACAGAGACTTTGAAAAACAAAAAATAATACCTAGGACGATCCAGTTTTTTTCCAGCCCTGTCCAAACGTCTGCCTACGCCACTGCTGTGAAGGCCTGTTTGTCCTTGGCTGCAGGATACCTTTTATATTAGTCACAACAAGGCAGGTTTGTTTGTTCCTGTCCCACAGAAAAACACTCCTCTCAAAGAACTCAACATTTCTTAAATGAAACAAAGCTTGTGACATGTATTTCTGAAAGCTGACATTTTACTCTCTTTGTTATAACCTGATCAATGAATATGTTAATTATAGGCTGTTTTACAGGGTGGATAAACATAAAGCTCTATTTAAATCAGCCCATCACAGAAATATATGATATTATCATGTAACTGTACCGTTTTTGTTGTGCTTCTTTCAGTTGCTTTGACAGTAGGTTTCATTTTAACTTGCAACGTTCCAACCCTTCAGTGTGAATTGATTAAACTTGCAAACGTTCAGAAGTTTATAAAAGCTTCTTTGTGTTACTTTCCCACTGTTACTTTTATGCATTTAGCAGCTGTTCTAATTCAGAGCAACTTATGAAGCAGCAGTAGAGTTGAAGTCAGATCATTTTGGCAGCCGTGCAGAAAGTAGAAGAGAGGATTTATGCCTCTTTATCTGTGACACAAACTCTGGTTTTGGTAAGGAGAACCATGTAGTGCACACAGGGAAGTACAATATAAATAATGATCGAGACAAGTGTTCATTTTTCAGGGGAATTTTTACTGTACTTTCTCAATTGTGGTTATTAAAGTGATTGTCTTTGTGTTTCCTCTCTCAGGCTCAGCTCAACCAGACACTGCATCCCAGCATGGCAGAGGTCGACCAGGACCGCTCACAGAGTAGCACCCCTGTGACGGAGCTCTCCAACCGCATCCTGGACACCAGCTTTGAGGAGAGAGGGACCGGAGCGGCGTCTGTTGGCGGAGGCGGTAAAGCAGGAGGAGCGATAGGCTTGGGTCCAGAGGCCGTCCTGCTCAATGGCACTCGGCCCTCTCACAAGCGGCGCTCGTCTGAGAGCGAGACTCGGGACACAAAGAGACAGTACTCTCTGGAGCGGAGGGAAGAGTCGCCGGAGAGAGCGAGAGAGCGGGAGCGGGAGCGACAGAAGGACAGAGAAGGCCGGGGGGCCAGTAGCAGCTGTAGATCCAAAACCCCCTCTGCTTCATCGTCCCTCTCCTCTTCAGCAAAAGCAAACACAGTAGTCGGACCGATCATGTTGGACTCTAATGAAGGAGTCTTAGATGACGGGGAGACAGTCAGCCCAGAAACCAACCTCCGTTGCTTGGTCAATTTCTTCAGGTAAAGGTCATAATAGCTGAGGAAGTAATGCGAGCCAAGTAGTGGTCGTTTGTCAAGTAGAACTTTAGTGATTTGTATCAGGTTGTACAGGGTTTCCGATAAAGGATGAACTTATTGTTTGTGTTTTTTCTTGTATGTTAAAGGAAAGGTTCACATTTTTCTGTAATTGTTCCTCCTGTCCACACTGGCTGTGAAAGATGTACCTCCTTAATGTGATTTCAATGTAAGAGATGGGGATCAAAATCCATAGTCCAAAATCCATTCTGATGTTCACCTGAAGCTTCAGCAGACAGATGCTGATGTCTTTGTAGGACATTTTATTTGTGTTCCTGGACAGTGTTTCCTTGCTGAGCAACAGTGGTGGGATAGAATATAGATAATAAAATGAGGGAGTTTTGTACTAAAAAGACTTTTAAGTTTGCTTGAGTTGTCCACCTCAGACTGCTGAGACCTCATATTAACTTTGGCTGAAATTTACACCACAAAATATGGAACTGCCCCCCCCCCCCTCTGTTACATTGGAAACGCATTGAAATTGGATAACAGCTTTAAATGTTGCGATCCTATCCTTTACCTCTGCAACACTTCTCTTACTGCCTTACTGCCTCACTTCCTTCTGCCTTCTCTTACTGAAACATTCTTTGAAACTCAATTTCTTCAGAACCATGGGCTACCAGCAGGAAGTGGTGGAGCGTGTTGTCAAGGACACGGGACAGACCGAGGATACCTTCCTCGTTCTGGAGAAAATCGTTGAGGAAACCAAGCGTTGTGAAGAGGGGTCAAAGGGAGGGGTAAAAGAAAGACTGAACTCTGTGCGCTCCCCAGACACTCCATCCTCATCGTCGTCGTCGTCCTCCTCCTCCTCCTCCTCCTCCTCTACGATCCCTCGATTCCCTCGAGAGATGGAGCATGAGCTGAGCAGGGCGTTCGTAGACCCGGGCAGGTCCAAAGAGAACATTAAGCCCAACCAGCATGGAGGCAGTAGTAACGGTCTGGGGCACCGGAGGCAGTGCAGCGGCAGCGAGACCAGCACTCAACAGGTACTTTTTACTTTTTAATAAGACATTTAAATTTAATATAGCCCCACGGACCTTGAGGTGACAGAGCTAATCTCCAATTGTAAGTACTTTGCTAAGTGTGAAGTTTGAAATAAGAATAAAGATGAAATTATAGAGCAATATAGTCTAGATGTAGACTGAGTTGCTCTTTGATACATTTCAGATAGTGATACATTTTTATCCATATAAGTCTGCTGTTAATATACCTGTGTGACCTGCCCAGATAAAGTCTATGTATGGTTAACACTGTCACCTCATTTACATCTCTCATATCTCAACTCCCATGACACATAAAGTCTGCTTCTCCCCATTTTATCTTCATGATGATTTCTTCATTTTAAAAAAACATTTCCAATAAATCGCTTCGTACCTTGTGACTCATCTGACTGGATCTTAAATATTGTTTTTGTTATCTCATCACATTTTACACCTCATTTCATTGCTCATTTCGGCAGCAGGCCTCAAGTTTATCAGTGAATCACCTCACCTATAGTTCGACAATGTGGATGAATTTATTATCGTCAGAATCATAAGACATCGCGTTCATATTGATGAAGACTATCTGTTAACAAATATATGGTTTATATGTAAAAGTATGATTTAAAAAATTCAATTTTCAAATGATGAGACAACAGAATTGTCTAATGCATGCTGGTTTACTCCCAAAATAAGAAAATTACAAAAACAATCTCATTTCAGGCCATCACTATCAAGAGGAGTTCTAGTGCTCAAGGAGGAGCAGGAAACTACGAGGTTATTACCATTGATGATGACGACGATATCATCCCCACAAATACCAAAACAGCCGATAGTAGGACGTCCCGGATGATGAAAGTGGCACACCTGGACACCCAGTCGGGATCCAGGACAGACTACTTGGCGCGGGGAGGGGGCAGCGTCTCCCAGAGGGACTACCTGTCGAGAGGTGGGACCCAGACTTTGGGAGGATCAGTGAAAGTTGAGAGTGTGACAGCGCTGCGCAGCACGCCTCAGTGGTATACTGCCACCACCACGTCATTAGCTTTGACCCCCAGTGTAGGTATTACCTTAAAGCCCCGCCCTCCACTCATACATGTGTTTTGCATATTGTTACTTCACTTTTGTCCTCCGCTGTGCAGATTGATGCGTGTGCAAAGTTTGACACAAGAAGACTGTTTTCACATTCATCTGCTGAAGGAGGAAAGTTTCTCTGTGCTCAGCTTAAATCTGAGTTTAAGACATTTAACTACGAAATCATTTGTGACACTAGTTTGAAAGCCAGTCATGGTGCAATGTGCAACTTACACAAGTGTGGTGTGGAAACCTGAAGCCTCCAGTGCACATACAATGACAATGGACTTTACAGTGAAGTAGGAGACATCTTGTGTCTAAATAGAGAGAGAGATTTATTAATCCCTGTGGGTTAATTCAGGTATCCAGGAGCTCAGACTGTTACAAATATATACATTTAAATTAAAAAACAGACGGTAGTAACGGGTTAAAAACAGGCAAAGAATAAATGAATAAATAAGATAGAATAAATAAGATCCTTGATGGAGGCAGGGTAGGTAGGGAGAGAGGGAGAGATCAAGAGTAGTTAAACCTGTGAACTGAAACATATTTGCATATTTATATGCAATGAGTGAGTGTAGGTGTAGTTTTAAGAATTTTTCTGAATGATAATCAAAAAGACATCACAGACGATATGATTCAAAGCATAAAGAGTATTTCTGTATGTCTGAAAATATGTCTGGAGGCATTTTGCTGCAGTGTTACGGGTGTTAACTTCCTACTCTCTTGCTGAATTTGGGAATTTGGATATCCTGGGTAAGTCTGGGAGTTTGACAAGCAGCAGTCATAGAATTATTTCACAATTAGTGAGTTTTAGCTCATATAGCTAACGATGAATCATTTGTGGTTGTCGACTAGATGTTAGAAGAATCACTCCTGGATGAAACCGATGATAATAAAGCAAAGAGCCACAGAGAGGAATTGTAGTATCAACTGATCAACTAGGAATGGAAGGATCTATCATGAGACGGTTAAATCATGATACAAATATGGGTAGATTGAAATGAGTGAGCTCAACCGTGGCATCAAGGCACAAAGACATCAGTTCCACTTCACAAAAGGAAATATGCATTGTTTGTTGCGATAAGCGTGCCCACTCATGGCGAGGACTTTGATGTCTGTTGTGCTGATTCCTGTCATGAATCACCACCCCGTCTTTCTGTTGTTTTACTCATCTTTTTTATTATTATTGTCCTCCCCAGTCAGCTCAGACTATCAGCCGGCCCGCAGCCTCTCCCTATCAGACCATCGGCCACATGGGGTTCCATGGGATCGGAGCGAGGACTCCCCCTGCGAACGACCCCCCGCCGCCCCCCGTCACCGGTTTGGCTCGTTTCCATCAGTCGCTGAGGACCCCCTACACTCTGAAGCTGCCCAATGAGCCGGGACGGCAGGACCTCAGACACATCATCATAGATGGCAGCAACGTGGCTATGGCGTGAGTCTGCAACACACACACACACACACACACACACACACACACACACACATACACACACATACAACACACACACACACACACACACACACACACATAACACTTTTCATACCAGACAGGACTATCCACACAAATTATTCTTCCAAAGTTCAAAGGAATTATTTATCAGAAATAATGTTGTGTCATGGAAGTTGCACACCACTGAGAAACGGCAACTAAGAACCAGGCAAACAGGCAAACATGCAAATAATGTCTCTACGATTTGAGAGATTCAGCGCATCTCATACAGAGCAAAGTGTTGCCCTGGAGTTTTATCTGCTCTCTCTCATCTGTGCACTCGGGGCACTTATCACTCTTTTTGATCAGGTGTCACTGAGCATTCGCAGTTGGGGGATTTCTAGTTTATTTTTGCGTGTCTGCAGTGCACATAATATTAGCTCAGCTCAGAGGATATTGGTGTCGCTTGTACTTTTACACTCAGTTTCCTCCATTGAGAGCATTGTTTCTGTAAAATCGAAACAAAAATTCTAATAAATTTGACCCTGATGTGTGGGATCGTACCATGCATACATTATTTACAGTAATAATGTTCATTTATTTATTTGCATATTTGGACTTAACAACCTTTATCTTATTATTTTAACCTGTTTATATTTTGTTGATACCAATGCCATTATCAGTTCTACTTATCAGCCCTATCCTTTATTGATTCCTGATCATTTTTCTGCATTGAAAAGGGTTAGGGTTAGGACTAGACAGGTTCTTGGCATCAACACAACATGTTTTATTATCAATCTATCCATCCATCCATCCATCCATCCATCCATCTATCCATCTATCTAAGTCTAAACACAGTTTGACGTCATTATTTTACAATGCACGACTATCACTATCCATATAAGGAATTAACATACTTAGAAGCATACAATTCTGATGGATCGGACAACCTGGTGAAGGGAACCGGTTCTCGACTCCCGTTCCTAATAACAGTATTTTTGGAGATGAGCACCTGTCAACTGTTGGTGAAAATCGATAACAGGGAAACAGTTTACTGCTGAATATCTGGATGGGTATTAAAGCACATGATGACTCCTAGGGTGGGGCCTGTAACCATAGCAATGGCAAGACTAGAGGGAGTTTACCTGCACTCTAACTATTACCAGTGTTTCAGTCATCACTTCCCCTGAACATTATAAAGACAGAATACCAGGTAAACAGTGTTAAATTACTGCATCTTCCGACTCAGCGTTTCTTACTGGACTCCACACCTGTAGTGCACGCACCACGTTTTTCCTTTTACACATGAAGCCATCACCCTTCCCATCAATATCATCACCATCATCAGTTCTGGTCGCACACACACACACATTCAGTCGTACTCTCAAACTAAACAAACCATCTGTTACAGTGCGTAGGTCGCAGCTACAACCTTTATTGTGTGGGCGCACCAAAACTAGTCCTACGCATCCACGTAATGTTGTTACTCATCTGTGTGTGTGTGTGTGTGTGTGTGTGTGTGTGTGTGTGTGTGTGTGTGTGTGTGTGTGTGTGTGTGTGTGTGTGTGTGTGTGTGTGTCCGCGCCCGGCAGTACGAAAAAGCAGTTGTAAAAACATGATATTGATGAGCGGGGGTGTTATACGGGGGTGTTTTTGAGAAGGAGGCCTTTTCTAGTAAAATCAGTATTTGCAGTTTCTGTGTTATCCAGAAATTGTGCAACAGAGAAGGACCGTATGAGAAGGGATGACGCGCCATGTAATTGTTTTTTGGTTTCCTTTTTCCCCTTCACTCTCTCGGCTGATGTGTCGTAACAGTCTGCATCCTGGATGACCTTGTCTTGACTTCTCACTTTTGCAACCACTTCCTTTCACGTTCTGTCTTTCTCCCTTTTCCCTCTCGCCCTCCCTTCTCCCCCTCGCCCTCCCTTCCTCCTCACCAGGCCTGTGCCTAAACAAAAAAGCACGGATCACCGCTGACTCAGCATCGTCATGCAGGATCAAAGACGGCAAAGTTTTGTTTTTAAAATCCACGGTACCCACCCTCTTTTACTCTGTATGAACAGGCAACACCTGGATCTTTGAATCCAGTTGTTTGTTATTATAACCATTGATGGGTTTATAATGACGTGCAGATTTTAGGATCAGTGTGCGGTTACATGAAACCCTTAGGCCAGTGGTTCCCGACCTTTTTCCTTAAGGGATCAGTAAACTGACTAACCCCTGACTGAGTGGAATATTTTATGGATATTTCCTGTTGTAGCGTAACAATAGCCGTACAGAACAAGCAGTGAACACAATAACTGCAGGTAGTTTGTATAAAACGAGTGATTTTGGTGAAGTTTTATCAGATTATTTCCTGTGCATATTATATATATATATTGATCTTTTCCTGATATTTCTAGGTACTTTTTATACAATTCTGTCTGTAATATGTATTTTCTTTATTTATAACAATCCTACATACTTAATGGGCTTCTTCTTTGACAAATTGAATGTTTTCTTCTCCATAAGGCGTGTCCATTGTTTGATTTAAGTCTGAAGTCTGTTTGTTTTAACTGCGTACTTTTCCAGGACGAGAGAATGAAGTGCTGTGAATAGCTTGTGTTCGGGTCTTCAAGTTTTAGATCTTAAATAATAACTTACAACAATTACAATTTCATTTTATTTTCTTTACAGAAATGACAGAAATGCTATGAAATATAGGCCTAGCAACTTTGTAGCTAGCTACCCAAATGTAAACGTATGGCTTATCAGCGTTATATAGCCCATACAGCATCATTTTATTTAAACCCACCAGTTTTTGTCGATGCTGGTTATGTCTTTTCTCGTGTTATGGCTGGGGTACATCTACTTAGGGCTTCGTGCTTTCCAACAGTGAAGCGTTACCATGGTAGCCAAAGTCCTCATGTGCTGTATTATGATAGTAACTACTACTGTAAAAGCCTTAGTCTAAATAGTCGGGCAAGGAAACAACCTAGGAGCTCAGGAAAATATTCAGCCCAAAGGACAAACGTAAGTGTGGAACTCCAGGTAGTTCATGCAGCCGGGCCCAGGATATGTTGTGATCCTCAGAGAGGTTTTTAGGTTATGTAAACGTATTCTGATGAGCGCTGAGATGTTTTCCCTCATCGGGTTACGTCCACGTCTCCACGGTGATTTTACTGGTTGCATAATCTCTTCCTGCTGTGGTGTCATTCGTCGCTTTCTCTTTCAGCAGCCGCTGGAACTTCCCTTGAGTTTGCATTGTGGCTCTCACCACAACCTGAAAAGGATCTTGTTCTATATTGTGTCTCTCTGTCTGTCTGTGTGGTCTACCTTGTGTGTGTCACAGTTTGTAATCACTTACATGTACTGTGCAAGTACATCAGATGAGTGTTCCACTCTGTTTAAACACTTCAGTACTTCAGCCATCCAAAGGTAAACTGAGAAACTTCATAATAGAAAATGATATTACCCTCTGGTTTCTTCTCATTTATCATCAACCTGAGAGATTGTTGTCGGTGTTTTAATATGGATTCCCGTTGAGGTCAGTACTGTTTGTGGATCGTTCGTCCACATTCAGCTGTAGCTTAACAGGCTAACGTTGGCTTATTGCATCACTTTGTGTGCGAGGGGTCCCACGCAACTTCTTTCTTTTTGTTTGGCCGGACCTTCGGTCACTGTTCTGGAGACCTGCTAAATATGTTGTGTCAGACCACTGTGTTTGCCTTGCGTCTGTGCTGTGCTGCAGCTCACGTGAGGCCAGATTGTTGAGTAACCCAGTGCGGAGGGGAGTTACCAGCAGAGGCATGCACGACGGAAAAAGAAAAGAGAATGAACAGAAGCTCCATTCATTAAGTGTAGAATAGTTTTTTATGAGAAAGCAGTTTGTTAAATCCTCTTCCAGCACTCGTCTGACCTTTTTGATTCATCCTACCACCTAGAGGTGCTTCTAGTCTAAGCCTAGAGTTGTATTCCATCACCATGAAAATGTGAACAATCATTTAGAAAACCAGGGTATTGTGGAAACTAGGGCTGACCGATTAATCATATTTTCATCGTCATCGTGATACGAAGACCGCCTGAAATGTGTACGAACGGGTACAGAAACCAGGTATTAAACGGGTGAAAGAGAGTCCGCGGTGGAGACAAAGAAGTGAAGTTAACTCTAAAATTACTTTATGAATCCACATGTTCACCAACATGTAGAGGAGCGACATCCACTATGTTTTACACAAGCAATAGTGAATTGTTACAAACCAAAACGAAAGCTGTCTTTTATCTTAGTTTGCCTCAGATCTAAAAATCTGCCAAATGTTTGTTTTAAACTGAGCTACTGTCACATCAGAAGAGGACAGAGTTGACAGAGATGTCGGGAATATGGTTTATTTTATTGACATTTTATATTTTTATATATTATAGTAACTTTGTTGTTGTAAACGTTACTGTTGCTGCTACAGATACATAGCTATATTTAAAATATTAATTTCTTATCCAAGTCATCGCCGAGTGGCAGCCATGTTTTTCTGCCGCCAAGTGGTTACATAACTCCTCTACTGCAACTGGAATTTCAGATTAGGGACACAGAGTCAAACATTTCCCCTGAAAATAACCCTGTGTACACCTAGATTCCCCCAGCATAAAAGTAGGTTGAATGTCTGCTCTGTTTATCCTGACCTCACGAAGGGTTTGGAGGCCTAGAATTTCCTTTAGCACAAACACCTGAGAGCGTCAAATAATAAAATACCAAAATGCTCTGATAAAAATAAATAAAACATTTAAAAATAAGTCATTTCTGAGGATGCCAGCGGTGTTTTTGGTCTGTGGCTAGCAGCAGCAGCAGCAGCTTCCTGCTCGCAGGGAGTTTCTCATCTCTGTTGGTGTTTGTTGTTTGTGTTGTTTTGTGGTTTTCTGTCCTAGCTACGCATTTGTTGCATTACAGCTGTCTGACGTGCACGTACAGACCATGCACGTCATCACCAACAATCTGTGTCAGCTGATGGTGTGACATGTAGTGTATGAGTGCTATTTTGTACAGGGGGCCCTTTTAAAAATAATTCCCAGGTTTGTCATTGCCTCTCTTGCCATGGAAACCAGTCAAGACTAGTTTGGCATTCAGTGCTGTCCTGCTAATATTTGAAATATTCTTTAAAATGATTCTGGTTTGTTTCTTATTCTGATTCTCTATTGCTCAGAGGTGCTATTAGAGCAGACTAATAGCATACTAGTGCCCTCAGCTTACACAGGCCTCTGCAGTCAGATCTCAGACGGTTCCAATTTGAAAAGGAGGAAAAAAGCTGAGGAAAAGAGAGGTTGTATGTAGCCTTTCTTCTCCTCAGCTTTTTTCCTGCTTTTCAACTTCTTCTGTCAGGTCATGCCACTTGAAACCTTTAGTGCAGTGATAGAAAGATATTTGAACCACTTTGTATCAGTCAGTGGCTGATTTTTTTTTTTTATCTGCATCTCCTCACTGTGTCCCTCTTCTTCTTTTTGTCTCTCCAGACACGGTCTTCATCGGTTCTTTTCCTGTCGAGGAATAGCGCTGGCTGTGGAGACGTTTTGGAGGCGGGGCCACAGGGAGATCACCGTATTTGTCCCTCAGTGGCGTCAGAAGAGAGACCGACTCACAACAGGTACTTTTTTTTTATACACACACTGTGTCCAATTAAAACTATACACTTATAACCTCATAGTCATAAATTTAGTGTTTAGGTACAGAGCCAAATCTGTCCTCATACAGTCTTTAACATGTTACTCGGTCCAGTTTAAAATGGAAATGGCTTATTAAATGATATATTATTTCATTCCAAGAGTCCCGGTAATACAAACTAGAACATTTAAAAGTTTTGAATCAACTTTTCAGAAATGAGTGTGTTTTCTTTTCTTATTTCCATTTGATTGTCATGTAATATGAATTTAATTGTCGTCATTTTATCACAGAGCAACATTTTCTAAACCAACTCGAGGACCTGAGACTGCTCTCCTTCACTCCCTCCAGAGAGGTCTGCGGCCAGAGGATATCCTCACATGACGACAGGTACACACACACACACACACACACACACACACACACACACACACACACACTATGATTAAAGCAGACATCTTTCAGGAGAGAGTCCACCTGTCATGAATTCTTTATATCTAGACAGCGGTAAGTGGCAGACAAAGTGTTGCAGTCATAGAGCAGTGGGGGAAACACATGCTTCCTCAGAGCCGGGTATTGAACCACTTGGTTATCTCTGGGCATTTTGGTTCCATTGTGAACTTATCTCCTCCTACGCAACTATCTAACCCTGTGTCCATTACTCTCACCCTACTCATCACCAGCTACAGTCATACTATAGTTTCATAATAGAAATGAGTAAGCTCACTAACCAGAGGACTCATCCGACAGATGTCTGGTAAAATGTGGCGTGTTATGATTTATTTTTATTTTATTTTATTTTCAAGGCCTGGTTGTGAGTTTTGAAAGCCAGATCTTAAAGAGAAACTTTGGTATTTTTCAGCCCTGGGCCTTATTTTCCATGTTTTTGTGTCTAAATAATTAATGGGGGCAACAATTTTTGAAACTGGGCCATTAGTGTGCCACAGAACGGGCTGCAGTGTAATCCTTTGGTGCAATTCCTGACATTAGTTTGGATCTAAACTCTTTAAAACACCAAAGTCACACAATAACACAAACAAACCAACCTATCAGTGCGCAGGTAGATCAGCAACTCACATGTCCTGTGAGGTAAAATGAAATGAAAATGTTTTTGTCAGTGGAGTCTGGTGGCTTTGAATAGGGCAATGTAACAGCTGTTTCTTTTCTAAAAGGGATCTTACTCTTTAACTAAAAGCTCTGTCTTTGTCCATAATGTTGTCAGACACTTGAACTAACAATCTGAGCCTGTCTGTGGCAGAAACAAGCACTTTCTGTGAAGTTTTTGTAGCTGCCTTCTACAGCAGTCTCGCTGAATAGACCTTTTTCACAGCAGCCATTTCGACATGAAACCACAGAACAGTAGGGTAAACACAGGTGTCACCAGTGATTCTAAGGCTCTGTTTAGTGTAGCAGAGCCTTTCAGGTGAGTCGGCATGCACAAATAGCAGCACCCTGACTCTGTTTGACCTGAATGGAAGTGAACCATATTGGTAACGCCTGTGTTTACCTTGTTGTTTGATGTCAAAGTCTGTCCTATTGGTTCAAGGACAGACTTTGACATAAACCCCCATTAATCACTGAGAAAGAAAAGGCTCCAGGTTGGAAAATATCTTTAAAAGCAGCTATACCAAATTAAAACTCATCCTGACTCAGCATAAAAGGTGTTCCTCTACCAGTGGATTCCCCCCCTCCCAAATGTGGGCTGTGAAAGAGCTTCTGACCTTTGAACTTGGAAAATCCTCAGTGTCTGATCCTCACTCGCTCTCTCTCTCTCTCTCTCTCTCTCTCTCTCTCTCTCTCTCTCTCTCAGGTTCCTGCTCCACTTGGCAGAAAAGACTGACGGGATCATCGTAACCAATGACAACCTGAGGGACTTTGTCGACACCTCGGACACCTGGCGCAAGATCATTCAAGAGAGGTGATTGTGTGCTCTGTGTACACAGCTCAGCCGTTCACTCACTTGTTCCATTACCCAACCTGTTGGTGGAAAATCCAGCGCGGCTGACTGCCAGCTGGACGACACACGTTAAGGATGTAGTTTTAATTTACTGCGCTTGAAAGAGGAAACAACAGAACCTGACAATTAACACTCACTCTGAAGCATTGTTAGACTTCTGGTGTGTGCAATTATTGCTAATAAATTATTTGATTTAAAATAAAATGATCAAAACTAATGGATACAAAAAAACTATATATAAATATATAAATATCTCATATTTTTAAGACCACAATAAAATTACCTAGCTGACGTTTTGCAGGTTTGTTGTGATTTTACATACTTTTTTTTATAAAAATTTCATATTGTTAATACAATTATAGCAACTCACTACCAAGGTTGTTATAGTTTACTAAAAACTAAAACTAGATGTTATTATTTAAATGAACTGAAATAAGAAATACATTTTTTTTAAAAAGATATCGTGTACAAAAATTACAATTAAATATAGGAAATGTCTTTTCAAATTTGTCAACACAAGTTTGACAAAAACCCCAAATTATAATAACAAAACACTAAAAGGAACACTGAAACTAATAAAAACTCAACATTTTTTAAGAATAATGACTAAACTGAAACAAATAGATAACTCTATTATCCAAAAAATTATAATAACTGCTCAGTACGACTTTATTAGAATAATAGTGTGTACAATAAAATCCATCAGTTAAATGAATGACTTCTTTTTGACTAATAATAATGAAGAAAGTTTGGATTGTTGTCTTTTAAAGCAAAGATTTAGAACCTGTCCTCCTTAAAGTTACTGTGTGTTACCTGTGTGATGCTATACGCTGGTTGGCACCATCCACACAGCCTGCAGCTGCACTCTCCCTGGCACCCTGTCTCACTCCTCCAGAGGAAGAGTCATGTTTAAAACTGCAACTGTAGGATGATGAAGCAGTAACAAGGAACTTTTATTTTGTCTGGATTGTGGCGGCCCCTGTGGACAAAAGTGGTAGTGTATCTACTGCCTCATTTCTAGAATTTAAGGGGAATCTGAGAGAATAACTATATATGAACAGCCAATGGTCTTCTTTATTTATATAGGTCATATAGAGGCATGTGTATTAAAGTGAGACTGTTTCATAATTAGTTAAAACTCATTGTAGAAGGTTTAGTTTGTAGAATTCACCAGTAATCATAATGACTTTAATACAGTACCGCACTAAAACTGCACACTGAAGGTCCAGAACTCACATACAGAGACTTTCAGAGCCGATGCTTTTAATTTGGTAGGTAAATGTGAGCAGTAGACAGACATAGTCTGTTAGAACAGGTTTTCATACTGTGCCCTTACTCTCTAAAGCCAGAATTGATTTATTTCACTTTATGAAATAGTCACATTTCTTTCCTTTTCACCAACAGGTTGCTTCAGTTTACTTTTGTGGAGGACCACTTCATGATCCCTGATGACCCTCTGGGGAGAAACGGGCCACATCTGGACATGTTTCTGCGTAAAGACGGCAGGTATGTTTCTCCTGCAGGTGTGTGTCAGCTTCACAAAGATAAAAAACACAAAGATTCTTATATTGAGCTGATTATACACTAATGAAAACATAGCTATGAATATTATATTCCATTTCTGCCAATAGATAGGGAGCAATGGTTTCTCTTACTTTGCCTCCTGGACTTACTGTATCTTAATGATCGAGTCCCATTGGAGGAATCTGAGGCCGTGTTAAAACTCCCTGTAACTGAGAAATTGAACTTCCTTATTTCAGCTGATTTCAGCTGGTTTCAGTCCTTTCCTCGTGTGTGTGATGATTGATTTCACTGTCAGTTGTGTTTTTATTTTTTGGTTCAATTAACAATGTTACACACTGGACCTTTAGGAAAAGAAAAAAGGATGTTTGTTGGCTCCAGACAGGAATGAATGGGAATTATATTTGTATATTCCTTTTTTTTTTTTTTTAAACATTTGAAAGAATACTTACTCAAAGTCACCCAACATGTAGTAGTAGCAGTAAATGTAATCTCCCCCCCCCCCTCTCTTTCTTTCCCTTTTAGGAGGGCTCCAATCACCCCTCCCCCTCTGAGACCCCCCAGACCTGCGGCCGTCCTCCCAGCAGCAAGAGCCGGTCTACGTCCAGGCCCTCCACTCGGCTCCCCGCAGCCAGGCCCCAACGCCCGGCCCCCTCCCTCCCTGATGCCCCACCCCACCACACACTGGCCCCACTCGGGTCCTCCCGAATGGCACCCGCCCCGCCGTTCCCCCTCCCCCTCGCCCTCGCCCCCTCCCCAGCGATCGCCGGGGGAGACGTCGGAGCTGAAACGAAAGCTGTACGACATCTTCCCCGACCAGAAGCAACGGATCGACCGCATCCTCAGCGACAACCCGTACATGAGAGACCTGAACGCCCTGTCTGGGCTGCTGCTGGGATAAACAGGCACAGCAACGAGAATCAGCAACACACACACACACACACACACACACACCCTCGCAAGAATAAACGTATACGTGTCAGCATAAAACTAATTTATTTTATCATTTCTTCCAGCCCGGAGGACATGCAAAGTTTGTTTTTAAATATTATTTTACAGAAAGACTGTCAGCCAGCTGCTAACGGCTAAAATGTATGTCTGATGTATGATCAGTTTCTCTGTCCCGCCTCTTTTGCTTTCACATTAAGATTAAGTTGAACAAACACTGGTGTCTACAGCAGCTACATGTTACACAAATGCCATCATCATCATCATCATCATCATTACCATCATCATCATCATCATCATCATCATCATCATCATCATCATCATCATCGTCGTAGCTCGGTGCCAACAGTCCACAGGGGGTCTTTGGGGACCGGCGCTGGGAGGAAACGTTTTGGACCAAGAGCATTGAACTGGTCACATGTGAGTGAGGCACAGAACCTTGGTTTACCGTCAGACTCCAACACGTCTACGGTTCCACACGCTGACCGGTTCTGCATGTTTTGTTTTTTTTGTTGTTGTTGTTTTTTTTTTAAACTCACTCACACTCATCCTGGTCTGTAACAGCGAGTCCACCGCGGGGTCGTATCGGGGTTTTGAACTCAGTGACGGTGACAGTGTACTTTCAGAAAGCATGATAATATCACTAGCTTCAGCATCATAAAGTCTCTGTTAATGGCCGTTCATGTTGGACATTAAGAGCCACGGTTTAATAGACGGCTTTAATTTCACATTTCACATTAAAAGCACGAGGAAGGTCAGTATGCTGAGGCTGTATAGACGAGCAGTTCTGGCTGTGTAGTCTCATTATTTCAGATTCTGCTCGCTGTGTGTGTGTGCATACAGCACTGCCCATCTCCTTCCCCTCACAATGCTGCCTGTGGATCCTGGCCTCCGCTCCACATTCACATCCAGATGAGGCTTTTAAACAAATCCTTTCTAAAATGTTAAAACAAAAACTAACAACATATTAAAGAAGGAGCCTTCTTTTTTTAGTCAAATAAAGTTTTTTTGTTTTTTTTTAAGATTGCTCACATTAATAAGCCCCCTCTCGTAGCTCTGTGTCGTTTCTAATACACGCTTCATGAGTGACCTCTGACCGGCTGTGGAAGAACTCAGGTGCTGAAAGTGAATTTGCTGCTCTGTGAGGAGAGTTCCCGACATTAGTGGTTCCATTTAAAGTGTTCTAACGGAGGACGCAGTCACCACTTCTGCTTCCCGCCGTTGTTTTCTGTTCTGAGTTGAGTTGGAAGTTATCCGCCTCGGTTTGTAGGCGACACATTTGTCCATCCGGCTGTGGATGGAAACACTACAAGAGTTTGAGTTAAACGGCCCCGCTCACATTAGAAATCACACACCGTACGTTCGCTCGCCAGAAAACTAAAGACGACAGACTTTACTTTTGTAATTAGTGTTAAATAGACAAATTTAATGCACTGAAGGTAAGTGGTGGTGTAGTGAGTAAATCAATGAGAGCTTATGTTTTTTTTTTACTCATACACCCAGAGAATGTGGGCCGCAGCTTGCATATTTGATGTGCATCTGAGTTTTGTAAGATATAATTCCTTGTAATAAAAGAATATCTGCACAAAAACTTTACAAGGTGTCAAAAAATAAGTTTTGTTCGTATTTGCGCTGTTGTTGTTGTGAGGATTACTGAAGGATTTCTTTCTCTTTGGTTGTATTATAATTATTATAATCCTTTTTGTGTATATCCATTTCTTTTTGTAAATACCAGCGTTTTTGGCTACAGTGCACATATGGTTTTATGTATGTTGAAAAATGAAATAAATGCGGCAGTCCCCATAAAACTTTATGGCTGTACAGTCTTTACAGTTTTTTTTTTTTTTACCTGCTCTCTCGTCCACAGACTGTTTCCTCTGGAATCAACTGTTCAGAGGCAGCGTTACTGTGACGGCCAAAGGTTCAGTTAGTTCAGAGAGGAAGAGGAGAGCTTTGATACAGCTCTTCTGTCTGTACAGTGTCATTATTACCCAGGTACATGTTAGTGAGTGAGCTTTAGAGATGCTGCTAGTTGCATTTTATTAACCTTTGGATGCATCCAGGCTAACTGTTTCCAGTCTTTATGCTAAGCTATGCTAACAGCTTCGTATTTATCATACAGGCCTAAAAAGCGGTCAGGTCAGCAAGAAAGCAAATAATCCCCAAATACTTCACTTTCCTCTAAATTAGTTTAATTACATTATATAAGTCTGTTTATTAATTCAACTAATGCATCTAGTATTAGTATTTTTTTTTAGTATTTTCATTTGAGATTTCTGATATTTTGAGAGTATTATAGGTTTTTAAGTAATTTATATAATTTATTTACACTTTCTGTTCACTAGAGGCAGCTCGCGTGCCACCAGCGGTACTCGAACCGTAGTTTGAGAACCAAGTGATGTTGTGTTCAGTTCAGCGTCCAAAAACTGCTGTTGGGTCTTCATCACGAGGAACTGTTACTTAAAAGAACCACGGACACTGATTCTTTCATCCCAGATGGATGATTCTGTGTGTGTGTGTGTGTGTGTGTGTGTGTGTGTGTGTGTGTGTGTGTGTGTGTGTGTGTGTGTGTGTGTGTGTGTGTGTGTGTGTGTGTGTGTGTGTGTGTGTGTGTGTGTGTGTGTGATGCTAATTACCTGCAGGCAAAGTACAATAGTTTTCTTTTGCGACTACAGGAGAGAAATAGATGAGACACAGAAGTTCCCCATCGTACTGTTTTCAGATTATTTTTAAGGTTTTAAAGGTGCGCACTTTGACCCTGTCTTCTCTGCACGCTGTGTTGTGGTTTTGGCTAATTCTGTGTGCCTTTTTAGTTTTCAGGGTTTGCATGAATGTGTTTCAGGTTAAAGGCATCAAATTTAGCTTTTATTACTTTATGTTTGTGTTCAAACGGCAAGAAAATGTTAAGAGGACGGGTAACTAGAGACAGAGGTCTTTATTTTGGTTCCACAGGCTGCTCTCCAGTAACTCTTGTCAAAGGATATTGTGTTTTGTGCGACCTATTGATGTTTTATTTCCTATGTTAGATTGGATTGTTTTACTCAAAGCGACCGTGTTGTTGTTTTCTGTGGTCGGGATCTGTTTGCCAAAGAGAACATTGCTGGGTTTTGATCAGAGGAGAACACACGGGGCTGTTCTCAACCTGGGAAGTTCAGATCTGTATGTGGCCTTTTTCTCTGCAGTCCGAAGATTAAAACCTACTTCTTTTTTTCTACCTCACCATTTGGCAGTTCCACTACCTCCGAGGCCACTAATGGTTGAGAACGGCTGCAGCAGAGCTCGAATCTTACAGTATAGACAGGGACAGTGTCTCTCCTTTCTTTACTTTATAGGGAAGTTGCTTCTTCTTAAGTAGTTTTTTCAGATATTTGTACTTTACTATTATATTATTAGTATTTAGTCTTCCCTACATTCCAAATATTTGTACTTTATACTCACATATACATATACTTACTTACATTTTCATAACAGGCTTGTTCCTTTAGTGTGAATGCATTTGGAGGTTACTATATATTATTATTATATAATAAGTGAGGTTATCGATTATTTTCTGCATCACTGCTCGCCTTCCCAACATCGAGACCGGTGAATATCACACATGACAGAAGCAGAAAGACACAACAGACAAGTGAAAGACACTCGACCTTATTAGAAGCGTCAGTGGGTTCCTGCACAGAAACAGCCGGTAAAAAAGTAAGAAGTGAGTCAGGAAGTATTTTTTGAAAGTATCTGTACTTCCTCTTGAGTGTGTGTACTTTTTCCACCTCTGCTTTCTGCCCTAAGAAAGATGTCACCAGTTGAACATCCCAGGTTCACTTTATTGTCCCACGTTGTATGAAATCTGCCCCCTTTTGACCTTATTACTATAACAAAAGGTTATTAAAAAAAAAAACATACACAAGCTAATATTAATGACATTGTATGGAAGCCCTTTGTTGCCAAAGCATTCATGAAGCATTAACATTGTATTACATAAGATACACCCTGCGTTTGACTCACTCGACTTCAGCATCAGACACAGCAGCTCTGAGTCACTTCTGCACATTATTCACTAGGGGGCAGTGTGCATTAACATATGACCACTGGAGTAATGGGTTTGTCATTTTACAACTTTTGTCTTCACCTGATGATATTTAACAGTATTTTATATATTTATATTTGTATATATATTTTTATTTATTGATGTATTCAGTTAAATCTGTGATTTTGCCCCTTTTGTGGCTCCATAAATAAACACAGGCTGTATATTTAAAGCTATCGGTTGGTTTATTGTAATAAAGGCTGTATGTTGGTAATTAAGAAGACATTTAATTGTAACTCCCGATCAACAAGCCGCCATATTTTTAAGCTCTTTTGCAAGCATTGTTTTTCAATTAGATTTATAACACTAGCACATCTTTGTTAGCAGTGTTTATAATCCTATTAAAACACCCTGTTTGTGATCTCTTTCAGTCGGAGTGTGCTAATAATAGAGAATGACGTTTCTTCAGCTTACTAAAAAGTATGTTTTTGTGGATAATCCCCTCAGTCTGGCAGAGAGCAGCTTAAGACTACAACAGTGGGTTCCACAATTTTAAACATGGCTTTTGTCTCTGTGTAATATTCGTCCCAAGCCCAAACTTCATGTCATGTACGGGATTAAGAAGGTCTAATCCTGTCATATCTATCCCTCCTCTCTGTATTTATCCACCCAGTGTGTCACTCAGTCAGCCTCACTAATTGGAAGTTTTATCATTTTAACATTAATGTCCTGAGACCTTGGACCCAGCTGTAAGATATGGTTAAGTACAATGGTTTTTAAATCCCAAAATAAGTCTATTTGTATTTCTGTAATAAGTTTTATAGCAGTGTGTTGTAAGAGGTCAGTCAATGTATGTTTCTTTGTCTGTGAATGACTTTATAACAGTATATGTTTCATGCATAGCCCGTATAAAATAATCTTTATATATTACATTATTTACATATACATACATATATATACTCTAAAAAGTAATTCAGTGGACCTATTACCGTCACTTCCACTGTAAAACCATTTCAACATTCTTGATTAAGTAGCTTTAGTAATTTTAAGTTAGAATTACTTAATTTTGTAATTTTTATTTGTTCAAACAAACAAAGTACCAAGTATCAAGTTATTTATCAGGAATGTTTACTTACAAAAGGAAGTTGGTGCCACTTCAAATTATGAGTAAAAGCGACTTAATTAAGAATTCTTTTTGCCTAAAAAACGGACTTTGTGTTACTTCAAGATTTTTATGGAATCAGTTTCAACGATGTTTTGAGTTAAATGAACTTATCTGGTTTTAAAGCGTTAATAAACCTTTTAAGTTGCAAACATTATTCCGATGAGTTGTGCTGACATAATTAACGTGAAAAAACTAGCTGAAACAAGTTCATTTTTATGAGTAGCCTAATCAACCAAGAGAGGTAATTAATTAGAATCCATTTGATTGTAGAGGAAAAGCTAGCTCAGCTGACTCAGAGTAGTACATTTGTTGAACGTAATAAAAACACACACAAATGTATCTTAATCAGTGAACTGGGACCAGGAGAGGTTTCTGTGAGTCTCCATGGAGTCAGCTCTTATTTTAAACCTCTGTCCCAGTCTATCCATGTGGCTCATTTTCACATGTTTATCCCCAGAGGATGAAAATCTGACCGCAGAATCGAAACTTCATTATAAAAAGGAAAAATGTCAATCCTCAAATAAGCCTGTTTAAACTCCTGGAGTTAAAGGGGCAGACGGGACAGACGCCAAAAGGAAATCAATCCGAACCAGACTGAAACCTGATATTGCACTTCCTGATATTGGATCCGGAGAATGGGGAGGCCCTGCAGGCGGCAGGGGATCACACACATTCGAGCTAAATGCTTTTATAAGGAGCACACGCCTCTCAGTGGCTTCGCCTTCATGCAAACGTGTGTGGTCTGTGTGTCAGGCAGATCACATTCACTCATGGACTTTGTCCTGGGATAAAGATGAGAAAGAAAATGGGTCCAGTCTGGCTGACAGAGATCCGCATTATCATACCATCCCTTATTTTATGTTTATTCATTATTCTCCAGGGACAATAGGACCCCAGAGACTCAACAAACACATATGCATTAACACATATCAGGTGCAAGATTACATAAGCGACCTGGCTCTCATTATGCAAATGAGCGTGGCTCATGTTTCAGGCAAAGTGATTTGCCAGCACTGACAATGTGTGTGTCCAGAGATTATTCCTCGACCGCAGTGGAAAATACTGATGCTAATCATAAGCAGGTCCACTTCGGCCAAAAAATAGCTTGGGGAAAATTCCCTGCAGGCCCGGCAGTCTAATTTGGGACAGATTGGGGTTGCCTCTTGTTGCAATGAAAGGCCTTTGCATGCACAGCAAATGGCTACTGCTCAGCAAGTTTGGCAGCACATGAAGTCCCGACCCGAAGGTGGAGAAAATACCAAAAAAACACGCTACACTGTAAAACCTGATGAGCTAGTTCAACTCAAACTGTTTGAGGAAACAGATTTCAGTTTTATAACTCAAACAATTTAAGCATGAAAGATATTTGATGTGAGTAGAAGTAACTTATTGTTAACTTAGTGTAAGTTCATTGTACCAAATCCATTCAGTTAATTGAAGTTTCTCCAAACACAATTTATCTGAATAAAGTAACTCAAATGCATCTTCTTCATACAAATGTTACCACCAAGTTTAAATTACTAAAGCAAATTATTGCATTACTCATCAAAACAGCTGACGTACAATAAACCTTTATAAGTAACTGATTATCAAAATGGTGTTTATTATGTGACTAACATCAAGGCTT